ATGTGGAAGGTCTTCTTAGGGCCTGGGATGGGGGTGAGATGGGAGGTGTAGGGGCAGGTGTAGCACTTCCTGTGGTTGCAGGGAAAATTGCCGGGTGTGGTGGGGCTGGTGGGGAGTGTGGAGCGGACAAGGGAGTCACAGAGAGAGTGGTCCCTCCGGAAAGCAGATAAGGGTGGGGAGGGAAAAATGTCTTTGGTAGTGGGGTCGGATTGCAGATGGCGGAAGTGTCGGAGGATGATGCGTTGGATCCGGAGGTTGGTGGGGTGCTGCGTGAGGACGAGGGGGATTCTGTTTTTGTTATTATTGTGGGGAGAGGGTGTGAGGGATGAGTTGTGGGTTTTTTTGCCAGAGATGGAAATAGAGAGGTCCAGGAAGGAGAGAGAGGTATCGGAGATGGTCCAGGTGAACTTAAGGTTGGGGTGGAAGGTGTTAATGAAGTGGATGAGCTGTTCGAGCTCCTCGTGGGAGCACGAGGCGGCGCCGATACAGTCATCGATGTAACGGAGGAAGATGTGGGGGATAGGGCCAGTGTAGCTATGGAAGGGGGATTGTTTTTTTGCCAGAGATGGAAATAGAGAGGTCCAGAGATGGAAACTCATCCCTCACACCCCCTCCCCATAATAATAACCAAAACAGAATCCCCCTCGTCCTCACGTAGCACCCCACCAACCTCCTTGACCTGTCCGTCCTCCCTAGACCGACCTATCCCCTCCCTAACTCCCCACCTACACTCACCTTTACTGGCTCCAACCCCGCCTCCTTGACCTGTCTGTGTCCTCTCCACCTATCTTCTCCTTTATCCATCTTCTATCCACCGCCCCCTTTCTCCCATTTATTTCAGAATACCCTTCCCCTCCCCCATTTCTGAAGAAGGGTCTAGACCCGAAACGTCAGCTTTCCTGCTCCTCTGATGCTGCTTGGCCTGCTGTGTTCATCCAGCTCTACACCTTGTTGTCTCAGTCTTGCAGAATACATTGTTTATTCAGAAAAAAATCATGGTCATTAAATGTAAAGTGTCTTGCCAAGATTTTTAAATAGCTATTTTAAATCTCCATGATACTCTTCTGGTCTGTAGTTAACTCTCACTGGCAGCTCTCATGATTGGAAGACAGGCCCACATAGTACAAAAACAGAAATTGCTGGAATATACTGAGCAGATCTGGCAGCATCTATGGAGAGAAATCAGAGTTAACTTTTCAGATCTAGTGACCCTTCTTCAGAATGGAAGATTTCTCTCCACAGATACTGCCAGACCTGCTGAGCTTTTCCAGCAATTCTAGATTTGTTTCTGAATTCCAGCATCCACAGTTCTTTTGGTTTGTAGATCCACATGGTACTTTCTTCCTGCACTCTTAATACCCAACCATCTGTGTGTGAGACACATTGTTGGAAACAAGCTGCCAGCCCTGCTGAGTTTCTCCAGCAATTTCAGTTTTTGTTTGTCTCAAATCTCCAGGATCCACAACTCCACTAATTCTTGTGTCGTCTGCAAACTAACTAACCTCACCATCAACATTTTTATCCAAATCATTTATATATATTACAAACAATAAATATTCTAGTAATGATCCTTGATCAATCAGCAAGCAGGTAGCTATCCCAACTTAAACCAAAACAAAGCATCAGATTTCAAGACCTTCACATGAAGACATGGGTTCATGGCAAGGTATTACATTGTTAAGTCCAGTCCAGCTGCAATGACATTGTACTGAGCAATAGTGAAGTCCTGTGAAAAAGTAGATGATATATCTGGACAGTGCATCACTAACTATCCATCACACAGGATGACAACTCTGATACTGAAGATATCATGCTAAATAACAATCACAAACCTATGACAAGTGGCACAAGTCCATCTGAGCAGACCACAGAGTATTGAAGCAACACTGACAAGTCATAATAACTGTATAAGGGTTAGACCTGGTTGTATTGAATGCCCACCAAAGTGTTATCTGAATTTGCAGGGAAATCTTTGTACATGTTTATCAGAACAAGGGCTGTATTCTTTTAAAGGAAAAAGCGAGGATATTGTACAATGACACAGATTCTAGATCCGACAGGCTAATGCATTTAAGACAGTCACATGCTATGACAACATGAGATGTTCTGGTATAAAAAAGAACCTGCCTTACCTTCAATCATTTCTTGCATGTAGTCAGTTATGGATGGTAACACTGACTATGTGTCTACATTTGTGATATTGTCATTAATTTGTTTCGTAAATAAACTTCACAATATCTAACTCAACACAATCCAGCCATTATAGAATATGTCATGTGGTCTGACATAAGCAGAAAATTACAAAATGATAGCAAGTAGTGGTATTACCAAGTTACACTTGATGATGATCAGTGAAGCTCCCCCCTTACCCCACCCAGAATATATTCTGTACCCTTGCCATGTACAATGCTTCTCTATGTTTATGCTGTGGGCCTGGAGTCAAATGTGGTCCGGATTTCCTTCCCTCCATGATGTTTGTTTATCAGATGGTCATGATTAGACTCGTTTTTAATTCCAGATTTATGAATTGAATTTAAATTCTACCAGCTGCTATGGTAGAATGTAAACTCATGTCCCCAGAGCATTAGCCTGGATTATGAATCCAGTGACATTAACACTGTGCCACCAGCTTCCTTAAGAAGGAATCAATTAGCTGATGGCACCACAGTTAACTCCATTGTACAACAGGGAGGGTTGAAGTGTAATTGAGTGTTAGTGATAGGGGGTTCTGTATTCACAGATGAGTGTGTCTGTGACTGCAAGCAGGTAGTTGTGGAGGTGTGTTTTTCTCACTAGCAGTCTGTGACCAGTGGTGTTCCGCAAGGATCAGTGCTGGGACCTTTAACGTTTGTAATATATAATAAATGATTTGGATGAAGATGTAGGTGGTCTGATAAGTAAGTTTGTGGACAATATAAAAATTGTTGGATCTATGGATAATGAAGAAAGTTGTCAAAGGATACAGCATACTAGAGATCAGTTGGAAAGTTGGGCAGGGAAATGGCAAATGGAGTTTAATCTGGACAAGTGTGAGGTGATGCATTTTGGGAGGTCAAATGCAAGTGGCAAGTATACAGTAAATGGCAAGACTGTCATGAGCATTGGTATGCAGAAAGATCTTGCAGTATAAGTCCACAGCTCCCCAAAAGTGATAACACGAGTGGATAAGGTGGTAAAGAAAGCATATGGCATGTTTGCCTTCATCAGTCAGGGTATTGAGTATAAAAGTTGGCAAGTCATGTTGCAGCTGTATAAAACTTTAGTTAGACCACATTTGGAGTATTGTGTGTCATTCTGGTCACCACACTGTAGAAAGGATGTGGCAACTTTGAAGAGGGTTCAAAAGAAGTTTACCAGAATGTTAGAGATAGTAGGAACTGCAGATGCTGGAAAATCTGAGATAACAAGGTGTAGAGCTGGATGAACACA